TGTATCTTTAGTAGAGACGGGGTTTCATTATTTTGACCAGGATGGTCTCGATCTCTTGACCTCGTGATCCACCCACCTCGGCCTCCCAAAGAGCTGGGATTACAGGCTTGAGCCACCGCAACCGGCCTACTTCCTTTCTTTAGATCCAGATGATCTTCCATTGTATGGAGAAAGCACATTTTATCCATTAGTTGATGGGCTTTTGAGTTATTGTCATTTGGCTATCATTAATAATGCTGCTGCGAATGTTTATGTTCACGTTTTTGTGTGGCAGTGTTTTCATTTTTTTCTGGGCATATATCAAGGAGTAGAATTGCTGTGTAATATTTTAAGGAACTGTCAAACTTTTTTTTCCAGCAGCCGTACCATTTTACATTCCTGGCAGCTGTGTGTGAGGGTCCCGGTTTCTCTGTGCCTTTGCCAACACTTGCAGTTGTCCATGTTTTTTATTGTGGCCATCCTAGTGCGTGGGTAGTAGTATCACATTGAGGTTTTTCTTTGCATTTCCCTCGTGGCTAATAATGCTGAACAGATTTTCATGTGCTTATTGGCCATTTGTATCTCTTCTTTGGAGAAATGTCTGCTCTCATCCTCTGCCCGTTTTTATTTATTTATTTTTTGAGACGGAGTTTCGCTCTTGTTACCCAGGCTGGAGTGCAATGGAGTGATCTTGGCTCACTGCAACCTCCACCTCCTGGGTTCAGGCAATTCTCCTGCCTCAGCCTCCCGAGTAGCTGGGATTACAAGCACGCGCCACCATGCCCAGCTAATTTTTTGTATTTTTAGTAGAGACGGGGTTTCACCATGTTGACCAGGATGGTCTCGATCTCTTGACCTCATGATCCACCCGCCTCGGCCTCCCAAAGTGCTGGGATTACAGGCGTGAGCCACCGCGCCCGGCCAGTCCTCTGCCCATTTTTAATTGGGTGTTTGTCTTTTCATTATTCAGTTACAAGTTTTTTTAAATATATTCTGCTTATATTGTAATTTCCTCATATATAATTTGCAAATGTGTTCTCCCATTCTATGGATTGTATTTTTACTTTCTTGATGGTGGTATTTGCAATTTAAAAGCTCATAATTTTGAAATAGTGAAGTTTATGTTTTTCTTATACCACTTGTGCTTTTGGTATTGTATCTAAAAACTTTTTTCCTCAATCAAGGTCATAAAGATTGACTCCCATATTTTCTTCTGAGTTTTATGGCTTTAGCTATGACATTTATGTCTGTCATGGGAGGTAGGGCCTCCGGTTTCTTTTACATGTGACCATCCTATTGTCCCAGCACCACTTGTAAATGAAAGTATTCTTTCTTCACTGAATTGTCTTGGAACCCTTGTTGAAAGTCAATTGACCGTAAAGGTGAGGGTCAATTTCTGGACTCAGTTCTGTTCTGTTGACCTATGTATCTGTTCTTACATCATCACTGCACTGTCTTGGTTACTATAGCTTTGTAGTAAATATATTTCTTATATCTTTTTAAATGTATTATGCCCTCCTCTTGACCACTACTACCAAACTGTTTATTCTTGAAGAAACTAAGTTATTTGTATAGCATTTCTTGTGTTTAGGTTTGGCTAATTGTATCCTGAAGGTTATCATTGAACATGTTTCTCGATTCCTCTTTTTGTAACTGGTATTTAGATCTAGGGGCTCTATTAAAATCATTTTCAATTATGTATTTCCTTATTCTTTATTGACAAAAATACTTCCTAGGTGGGGCTGTATACTTTTGTATCAGTCGGGAGGCATATATTGTCTGGTTATCCTACTTTGATTAACATTAAAATTGACTATTGGGTTTAGATGTTATCAGAGCGATGCATCTATTATTATTATTATTTTTTTTTTTTTTGAGACGGAGTTTCGCTCCTGTTACCCAGACTGGAGTGCAATGGCACGATCTCGGCTCACTGCAACCTCCGCCTCCTGGGTTCAAGCAATTCTCCTGCCTCAGCCTCCCGAGTAGCTGGGACTACAGGCGTACACCACCATGCCCAGCTAATTTTTGTATTTTTAGTAGAGACGGGATTTCACCTTGTTGACCAGGATGGTCTGGATCTCTTGACCTCATGATCCACCCGCCTCAGCCTCCCAAAGTGCTGGGATTATAGGTGTGAGCCACCACGCCTGGCCATCCATCTATTATAAAGTTGCTGATCAACTTACTTTTTGGTATTGTAGTCATTGAAATTTGCTTTGATCTGTCAGTTATTTTATTAAAAGTTAAAAAATGATGATTTTGGAATTTTGTTATTTTTTCTACATTTATTAACTATGATTCTTGCCCTTATTAACATATAGAAACATCAGAATAAATCCTTGTTTCTTTCCCTTCATTTACAGTTTTCAGTATGAGTTGGGCCCTTAGCAATCTCTTAAGATGACCAATGATTTTTTTAAAAAAATCTTTGTGGATATTGAGTATCTGTGCTTTAACTTACTGCAGTCATCCTTTTTCTGATCCTCAAATTGTCCCATCGCTTGGTATTAATTATGTAATGTCTGGGATTTGCTTCAGAATAATCCGGGGGAGGTCAGTGGGATGGGGAAATAGATGAGTCATGACTGAGTTGATAATTGTCAAAGCTGGATGGATGGGTTTATTATTTTGTTCTCTCTTTTTCAATATAAAGTTTTAAATCATCCAATTTTTGGCTAATGGGAATTCATTGATGTTGAGAACCAGCCCAGCCCCGTACATGGGTGCCCTTAGTCCCAGTGGTGATAGGGGATTGAGAAAAAAAAATGAAGACAGAGACACAAGAGTACAATTTACAGCATTGGTCTGGGGGACCAATGGCAAGCTTGGGAACTGCATTGGCCTGGGCTCTCGGCTCCAAACACTTGTATTATTGATCTTATGGGCGTGGAAGGGGAGGGTGAAGGTGTAGGTAAGATAGAAGGATTTGAGATTCTTCTAAGGCATGCCAAACTAGTACTGAGTTTATCACTGATTGTTATCACGGTGTGGCTGCATCAGAAGTATAGTGGATTAGGAGCCACAGTCTGACCACTCCCCGTGCATCCAGGAGCTTTTCTCTCTCAAGCATTGAGGACAGAGAGCAATTAAAATCACTCCATATTCTGAGAACCTAGGCAGAGCCTGAGGCCTTTTGTGATCTCTGCCCAGCGAGGCTTTTCTCCTCCTTGCCAGCTCCCACCTGCAAAGACCTTCCCAGATCTTGTGAGCAGAGGTCGCCTCCCTTCTCAGAGATCTTTGCATAAGCCCTCTTTATGAGGCCTCATACAGTCTCCATGTTGAGAAGGCGTTCGTGGGACCGGAGCAGTGTTCCCTGCTCTGCAACCACCCCTCAGTGTTCCCTGGTGTTGCTGCACTCTCAGCTGATCTTTACCTTAGGCCTCCTGTGGCTGCTTCATTTCTAATTAACTGCACCAATAATATAGTTTAGTTCAGCGTATAAACTTCAGTGCACTGTGAGCCAATCAAGCTTATAATTATAAAGCTAGAATTAACATGGGTCTCCCCCCTGGCCATCGTGACCCACAATTGATAGTGGCTCCAGTATCATCTTGTTAGCTTCCTTGATTCAAGCCACAAGAAGTCCCAGGAACATTTTATACATTTCCCGCCTCAGACCAAGAATAAGTGATTTACCTAAGACTTGGTGGTTCCTTTTAGTGGAAATGGTATTTAGAAGAACATCTGGCCTACGCACTGGGGGTGCCACCAGGTTGTGCTTGCTCCTGGCCTTTATAGGTGACATAGCTAGAAAATGCTTTTCAGGAAAAGAAAAATGAATCAGGCACTCAGGCCAGTATTTCCCAGTCAAATAAAAGATGAAGAATTTTTAGCCAAGTCTTCTTGCGTTTTGTTTATTTTTATCTATTTTATGTTGAAAAGTTTGGTTTCAAACAAAAACCATAAACACTTGTTGACTTTATCCTACTTATATATAATGTGATATCCTAATTGTAGTGTGGGGTGGGTGTGTGTGTGTGTGTGTGTGTGTGTGTGTGTGTGTAGACAGGAGGGAAAGTGGATGCTAATTTTAAATATTAACATTGTTACCAACAAGTCTACTATGGTTTATTTTGTCCATAATATCCTACAAGGGATGTATAGTCAAAAGACTATTTTCCAAAGTTACTTGAAATAATTATTCTCCCTGTAGTTACACTGTCAACTTAGTACACTGTTTCAGTTTGCTTTAGATTTTTTAGGTGTTGCTTTTTTTTGTAATTTCATGTGATTCTAAAATGAAAACTACAATACAAGAAATACAGTTTAACTTTCATTCTTGTTCCCTTTTCCTTGTTTTTCCCCTCTTCCATGGAGAACCATTTTTATTAGTACTAGGTTTATCTTTGCTTTATTTTTTAAAAAATATGTAGACAGGCCAGGCACGGTGGCTCAAACCTGTAATCCCAGCACTTTGGGAGGCCGAGGCGGGTGGATCACGAGGTCAAGAGATCGAGACCATCCTGGTCAACATGGTGAAACCCCGTCTCTACTAAAAACACAAAAAATTAGCTGGGCACGGTGGCACGTGCCTGTAATCCCAGCCACTCGGGAGGCTGAGGCAGAATTGCCTGAACCCAGGAGGCGGAGGTTGCGGTGAGCGGAGATCACACCACTGTACTCCAGCCTGGGTAACAAGAGCGAAACTCCGTCTCAAAAAAAAAAAAAAAACGTGGACAATAGAAAATAGTGTTTTTAAAATAAAAACAGTTTCTTTCCTTTCTTACAAAGGGTAGCATACATAATACTCTTGTGCTCCTTTTTTTTTTTCCACTTTACAATAGATCCTGGAAATTCTTTCTTCTTTAAATATGTTGGTTTGACCTTTTCTATGCTACTAGTTTTATGTCTGTGCCCTTATTCAAGTGCATCGTAGGACACAGCAGTCTGTTATTAATTACTCCATAAAATATTGGGAGACACAATGAGTTAACTGAGTTTTATTAAACATCTTGCCTTTGCTTCTCATCACAGAACATGATAAATGCCTTTCCTTTTTAAATGTCTCTCTCTCTTAGTCTAAAGGAATTCCTGCCCAAAGAATACATCAAGCAGAGAGGAGCTGAAAAGAGGATCTTTCAGGTATTGGAAATGTACAGAACTTCATTATTCTCCTCACTCCCCATTCTCATTTATTAGTATGAAGGGGCCTCTGTGCATGATAGTTTATACCTTGTGCCTGTACTCTCATATAGTAAATGATTAGCAACTCACGAGTAAAGAAGCTGACGGTTCTACTTTGGGTAGATTTATTATTTTAATCAATATTTTCTTGCTAAAGGTTACCTAGCCCTTCTGAAAAAAAAATATGCATCCATTTGATTTCAAAGGCATTATCTTGGTAACATTGAAACAAGGTTATAGACCGTTAACATGCACTGAGGAAGGAGCTACAAGTAGCCTCTTGGTCCTGAGATTTGTTTTTTGAAGCTGGCATTTGGAAACCAGTGCCTTTTAAAAATCCAGGATTATTCTAAAAGTCAGAGACTTTTTCAGGTGCAGTGGCTCACACCTGTAATCCCAGCACTTTGGGAGGCTGAGGCGAGTGGATCACAAGGTCAGGAGATCAAGACCATCCTGGCCAACATGGTGAAACCCCGTCTGTACTAAAAGTACAAAAATTAGCTGGGTATGGTGGCACATGCCTGTAATCCCAGCTACTCGGGAGGCTGAGGCAGGAGAATTGCCTGAACCCAGGAGGCGGAGGTTGCGTGAGCTGAGATGGCACACTGAACTCCAGCCTGGCGACAGAGTGAGACTCCGTCTCAAAAACAAAACAAAAGTAAGTCAGAGACTCTTCTCTTCTTTTTTTTTTTTTGAGACGGAGTTTCGCTCTTGTTACCCAGGCTGGAGTGCAATGGCGCGATCTCGGCTCACGCAAGCTCCGCCTCCTGGGTTCAGGCAATTCTCCTGCCTCAGCCAGTCGGAGACGTTTCTAGTCTGCGCAGCCAGTAAGAAAAGCCCGAACACTAACTTTGCCATGAAATACTCTAAGGAATCCAAGATACCGAAGTCTTCTTTGATCCTGAAATGTAAATATAAATTACAATACAAATTTCCTGTGTATAAAACATACTTTTCTCCGGTATTGTTTCTGAGTAGTATTGTGTACAGGCATGTCCTATTCTTTGGAAAATGATACTTTTTTTTTTTTTTTTTTAATTGAAGCAGAGCCAGGATGGAGTGCAATAGGGCGTTCTTGGCTCCCTGCAACCTCTGCCCCTCTCCCCTGCACCCCTCAGGTTCAAGTGATTCTCGTGCCTCAGCCTACCAAGTAGCTGGGATTACAGGCACATGCCACCACACCTGGATAATTTCTGTATTTTCAGTAGAGATGGGTTTTGCCCTGTTGGCCAGGCAGGTGTCGAACTCCTGATCTCACATGATCCGCCCGCCTTGGCCTCCCAAAATGTTGGCATTATAGGTATGAGCCACCACAACTGGCCAGTACATTTTAGACGGATGTTAGAATGACACATGTCTTGAGAAGAACATTTTTCTTGGTATCATTTAACGTCTTGGCTCTGAACCGTTTGGGATGTGAAGTCCTTTGAAAATGTGATTACAGTTATGAACCCTGTTCCCACCACGCTGCACGTGTGCATGAATTGTCACATTTAGCTGTAAAGTCATGTAGGCTGCTTGGCCTTAAACTCCCGTTTGAAGTCCCCGCGTTAGAAGCTCCTGTGTGCTTTGATCCTTGGTCAGCAGTTGCCTGTGTCATGGAGGGGTCTCAGACACAAACAGACACACATCACTTAATGATCATTCCGAGCCACTGTGTCCACTCCGTGTAGTCACTCCCTCTCTCCAGGCCCACCTGCTGGCAGAGATGCAATAACTGGTCCCCGGCCACTGTCACTTTTGCAGGAGCATAAGAACTGCGGAGAGATGAGTGAGATAGAAGCCAAGGTCAAGTACGTGAAACTCGCACGGTCCCTCCGCACATATGGCGTGTCCTTCTTCCTGGTGAAGGTGAGTTGGGCAGAATGGAGAGAGTGTTCACCTCAGCCACCTCTTTTTTTCTTTCGTTCAAGCCTGGTTTGACCTGCTCACCCCCTAGCATTTGAGGTGGAACATCTGTCTAGTGCTGACCTGCATTTAGCCACAGCACAGGCTTCAGGGGTATGACCTGCAGGCTGTGAGTGAGCCCGGCTGTCCAGGAGCCTCTGGGCAGCTAGGCTTTGGCTCAGATCACTGTCAGGGGTGAAGTCCCTGAAGGACTGGCTTCACTTTTACTTCATACTCCTTTTCCTGACAATGTTTCATTTAGGACTGTCAAGAGTCCTGTGAATTAAGTGAAGGCTGTTCACCACTGCAGACCAAATCGAATTCTCGGGGTAAATGTGGTCCTTCATTTGTATACTTTAAGATAGGACTTTGGATTTTATGGCCTGCAGATGTGTTTTCATGGGAATTGTCTGTCTGCCTACTGGAGGAAAAGAGGTGTGTCTTTGAAATTGCACCTGTGAGCAAGCCCAGGTTGGCCCTTGATGGGTTCCATCTTCACGTGACTGACAAACCTCTGGTTATCTTGGTTACCCCTTTGCTTTTCCTGACCTCAGGAAAATGATATTCTTTTTAGTTGTCTTAACTATTAGGTTTCACTGATTTCTGCTTGTTGTGCTTTGACCCCTTTGGCCTCTCACCTGGGGCCCTGGAGAAAGCTCTAACTTACAGTGAGTCTTCGTGTGTTGCTTTCAGCAAACGGGAGCAAACCAGCCGTGTTGCTCCCAGGGACTGAAGTTGGAAAGGTAGAACTGACCAGACTAAGAAGGTGTCTTTCCCCACAGCCAAAGAGAACTGCAAAAGAAGCAGTTATATTTGTCCTTTAAGATGTTTTTCTTAGGCCGGGCGCGATGGCTCACGCCTGTGATCCCAGCACTTTGGGAGGCTGAGGTGGGTGGATCACGAGGTCAAGAGATCGAGACCATCCTGGTCAACATGGTGAAACCCCATCTCTACTAAAAATACAAAAAATTAGCTGGGCATGGTGGTGCATGCCTATAATCCCAGGGAGGCTGAGGCAGGAGAATTGCCTGAATCCAGGAGGTGGAGGTTGTGGTGAGCCGAGGTCGTGCCATTGCACGCCAGCCTGGGTAACAAGAACAAAAAACTCCATCTGAAAAAAAAAAAAAAAAAAGATGTTTTTCTTGACTCTTCTTCTCATTGGAGCAAGCTGCCTCATTTGAGGAGAGGAGATACCAAGATGTTACATGTCAGAAAGACATATGGTGCACGCTTATCTTTAATATATCAACAAAACCAGCTTTCAGTTTTATACCCACAATCGCTAGGCCTTTGCAATGAAGAAAGTGTGTGTTAGTCACCTGGGTTTTTGTTTTTTGTCTTAAATATTAATCACCTGGGTGCAGGTGAGCTAAAGCCAAAATGGGCTTTTTAGCCCAGTCACCTTGTTTTTAAGAAAAGTAATTGAGAGGTCGAATTTTTTTACGTTTAGTGGCATTTTAAAGTATCAGTGAATTTTTGAATGGCACTGATGCCATCTAGGTAGCAATGACTCCACTTAACCAATATTAATAATAACAGTAATAATGTTCAGTAAATAGCCCTCCATCAAGCTTATCTCATTCAAACCTATCAGCAGCCCTGGGGCAGAACTACTACTATCTTCAATTTTTTTTTTTGGAGACAGAATCTTGCTTTGTCGCCCAGGCTGGAGTGCAGCGGCATGATTTCTGTTCGCTGCAACCTCCGTCTCCCTGGTTCAGGCAGTTCTCCTGCCTTAGCCTTCCAAGTTGCTGGGACTTCAGGTGCATGCCACCATGCCTGGCTCATTTTTATATTTTAGTAGAGACAGGGTTTCACTGTGTTGACCAGGCTGGTGTTGAACTCCTGAGCTCAGGCAGTCTTCCCATCTCGGCCTCCCACAGTGTTAGGATTACAAGTGTCAGCCACTGTGCTCAGCCCTCTTATCTTCTTTGTATAAATGAGAACACAGAGGCCCAGCTAGATCCAGTGGTTCAGTTGGGGCTATAAGGCTAGTAACTGAAGAAGCCAGGGCTTGAATTCAGGTTTCCCTGATTCACAGATGGTGTTCCCAAGCTCTAACTGTACCGCTTAGCTGTAGTGACCCCATTTGAGAGGCAGTCACCTGCTTCCACTGCTCTAGCTTCCCATCTGTGCCTTGCACACATGGGGAAATGCGCTCATTTTAGAAGGCACGCTGTTCATTCATTATTGTGAAGGGCATCCAGTAGTAGATGAGCTCCAATGCCTGGCAGGGACAAAGATTAAACAAATTTTCATCATGTCCACTGGTAATAGCATCAATTTCCATTTATTTTCTTGAGTTTCCCTGTAGTCCTTTTAGTATTAAATTCATCTCCTACATTCACATCGTCTTCCATTAATACCAGGCTTCACACACAGTCGGTTTCAGTGATGTGCTAAGAAAAGCTGTTGTGCCTCTTGCATGTAGGTCAGTAAATTCAGGATAATAGAGAACATACAGAAAACTAGAATTAGAAAGGAAGAGAAATTGAATATCAAATTGTAGGGAAAATAAATTTGTTATCCAAAGACAATTTAGAGCTCAGAAATTTGGTCCATAGTCACTAGGATAATTTGAGAGAACAAAGATTTTCTGGTTATAGCAGGGTCTTGCAGATTTGATTAAACCAAATCTCCTTTTACAAAATTATTTAAGGCAAAAGAAGAGCATGACAGATTTTTTCCTTTCTTCCTTCCCTTTTCCATTTCCTTTTCCTCTCCTTCGTTCCCTTTTTTCTCTATATTTTTTAAAAATTACAACTCTTTGAAGAGAAGAGAGGATTAAGAAAGTAGGCAGCACTTGCAACTTCTTTTTTTTTTTAGACAGAGTTTTGCTCCTGTTGCCCAGGCTGGAGTGCAATGGTGCGATCTCAGCTCACTGCAGCCTCCACCTCCCAGGTCCAAGCAATTCTCGTGCCTAACCTCCTGAGTAGCTGAGATTACAGGCATGTGCCACCACATCCAGCTAATTTTGTACTTTTAGTAGAGATGGGTTTTCTCCATGTTGGTCAGGCTGGTCTTGAGCTTCCAACCTCAGGTGATCCATCGCCTCGGCCTCCCAAAGTGCTGGGATTACTAAGCGTGAGCTACTGAGCCCAGCCAAGCAATTGCAACTTCTGTATACACATTAGATACTGACATTTTTATTAATTTTATTTTTGTCACTGTCTATAATGTTAGTAGCGTATTGCTCACTTTAGTGTTTTTCTCAATTGCTTTTGATATATAGTTTGCCTTATTTTAAAAGTGGTATGACTAAAAAATTCAGGAATGAATCAATATTAAGAATTAATGAACCTTCTAATCAGACCAAGACTTTAAATAAGATGGTATCATATGACTATTTTATATAAAGCCACTAAGGTGTTTGACAAAATGTCTTCTTATTAAAAATTCTTTAAAATGCTGGAATATAAGTATACTTGCTCACCATGATAGAGGATCATCAGTATCAAACCTCTCATTAGTATCATACTTTATAGAAATGCTAGAGAGAAATCTATGAGAGGCTGTACATGGTGGCTCATGCTTTTAATCTCCCAGCACATTGGGAGGCCAAGGCAGGTGGATCACTTGAGGTCAGGAGTTCGAGAACAGCCTGGCCAACATGGTAAAACCCTGTCTCTACCAAAAATAGAAAAATTAGCTGGGTGTGGTGGCACACACCTGTAATCTCAGCTACTCTGGTGGCTGAGGCAGGAGAATTGTTTGAACCTGGGATGTGGCGGTTGCAGTAAGCCAAGATTGCACCACTGTACTCCTTCCTGGGCGATAGAGCGAGACTCTGTCTCAACGGAGGGAGGGAGGGAGGGAAGGAGAGAGGGAAGGAGAGAAATCTATAAGAACTGGAATCAGAATAAATGTACCCACCATCATGAAGGAAGGAAGGGGGGTAGCGGGGGAGGGGGGTAGAGGGGAAGGGAAGGGAGAAATCTGTAAGAATTGGAATTAGAATAAATGTGTCCACCATCTCATTACCCTCTAACATTGTTTTGGAAGTTCTAGGAAATACAGTAAGATTTAAAAATTGGGGGGGGGGGGTGGTGGGAATCATTGCTTTAGCAAATGAAGGAACAAAATTACTATTGTAGCTGTGATTATTTATCCTAAAACAAGATATACCACATCATTTTTTTTACTTTCTACTTTGAAATTATTGCAGATTCACAGGAAACTACAACTCACACAGAATCAAAAAGATAATAGCAAGTGTTGGTGAGGATATGGAAAAATTGGAACTCCCATAACCTGCTGGTGGGAATGTGAAATGGTGCAGTCACTTTGGAAAACAGTCTGTCAGTTCCTCAATTGATTAAACATAGAAATACCATATAACCCAGCAATCGCACTCCTAGGAACATAGACCAAAGAAAATTGAAAGTGTATATCCACATAAAAACTTACGCATATGTGTTCACAGCAGTGTTAGCCCAAAGTTAAGAAACAACACAAATTGTCAAATGATTAATGGGGGATAGACAATTATGGTTTATCCATTCAATGCGGCGTCAGCCAGAAAAAGGAATGAAATACCGATAAATGCTACAACATGGATAAACATTGTAAATGTTATGCTAAGTGAAAGAAGCCAGCCACAAAAGACCACATACTTTGTGATCCCTTTATGTGAAGTGCCCAGAAGAGGCGAATCTATAGAGACAAGAAAGGAGGTTAGTGGTTGCTTAAGATTACTCTGGTGAGGGAGATAGGGGAATGCTAAAGGGTGCAGGGTTCTTTTTGATGTGGTGAAAATGTTCTACAACTGACTGTGGTTTTAAAAATAACAGTAATGGCTGTGGTGGCTACGCCTGTAATCCCGATACTTTGGGAGGCCAAGGCAGGCGGATCACAAGGTCAGGAGTTCAAGACCAGCCTGGCCAGCATGATGAAACTCCATCACTAGTAAAAATACAAAAAATTAACCAGGCATGGTGGCACATGCCTGTAGTCCCGTCTACTCT